TCCGCCTCGTGGGGAGCTGGCGCCCCCCGCCCTTGCCCCAGCCCGGAGGGCGCGTGGCGGGGAGGAACACTGGGATTTTCAGGGGCCACTCCTCGGAATTCGAAAAGCCAGCGCAGTCCCTAGGAGGCAGGCAAAATAAGGAAGGGGCTCAGGGGCCGCCCTGGGCACCGCGTTCTCCGTGGTCTCTGCACCACCTCGTCTTCTCTCTCTTTTCCGAGGCTGCTGGGGACTCGCACACCCTAAGGCTGCCTCTTGCCTCCCGCCTGAGGCTGGATGGAGCTCGCCCTGGCCGCCGGGACCCGGAGGAGACAGCGAGCGCACTACGGGGCTGGAGAGGGAGGGAGTTAATTCGCGGAAGGAATCTTTTCTCAGCCCGAGGGAAAGAGACGTGCCGCGGGAGCCCAGAGGTGCCACCAGGCTCCTGGCATCGAGACTGTCTGCGGGAGCCGGGGCGGATGGCTGTCGGGGCACTCACTCCCGAGCTTATCTCGGAACGGGGGAGGAGGGGGTGTAGGGCAGGTGTTCTCGCTACCCCTCCCCCACTCCTCGGCGAATAACTGCAAAAGTCAGAGCTCAAACCTACCTTCTGGACCCCAAAGCTGAATGTCTAACTCCTTCTACTCATCATCCTTACCATTAGCTGAGCGCCTACTACGTGCCAGGAGTGCTTCGTTAATTATTCCTTACAATTCTACTTTAGCTTTCACTTCAATTTCCCCACATTATGGATTGAGAAACTGGCGAGCTGAAGCTAAGGGACTTGCCCAAGGTCACCCGAATGGCTAGAGGTGGAAGGGGGATTGGACTCCAAAGCCGGCGTCCCTAACCACTAGATTAGACTGCCTTGACTGCCAGCTCCAGGGCCTGGCCGGCAGCAGGCTGGGCGCTACCGCGGAGCACAGTCCCTCTGCCCCGCCTGTGGACTAGGAGGTGGCGCCTGTCACCGGGGTAGGCGGCCCTGGGCCGGTGTCGCTCCGTAGGCTTGCTGTCTCCGCAGCACCCAGGACTCCTCAGGGTCCTGGTCCAAGCTGCACTCCTGACCCATTTACCTATTGACAACTTCCCCCACCTAAGTCAGAGGCTCATTCTGGGACAGTTTGGGGGTGATGACTCCAAGGGACGTGTGGAGGCAGGAGGGCTGCGATGTGGGAAGCCGACAGGTCCCCTGGGATGGAAGGGGAGCGGGAAGGAGAGCTGTGTGCTTTCACCGAGTAAGGGTGTTTCTGGATCTTACAGGGAAAACAGCACTGAACAGTGCTGAACTCCAGCCTGGCGTTCTACAGGGCTGCCAGGCTTATAGGAGTCCTGGGGAGCAGGAGAGGGAGGGGGAGACGGAAAGGAGAGAGAGAGA